AAAAAAAAATCTTTAAAAAACAAAACAAAACAAAAAACTCCTTCAGCTTCTGTGTGCAAACCCATAACATGGCATCATGGTTCCATGTATGGCAATCAGCATGGCCACAAATTTCTTGAAAAATTTATGCACTTTTTTACATGCTATAGAAGATGGTATAGGAAAGAGCTTAGAGTATGAGTTCTGGCTTTTGCTTTTAAGATGGAATAAGAGGGACCAGATGTACCCTCGTGCCTGAAAAAACCAAACACACAGAATACATCAAAGAATGGTTTTCAAGACATTGGACATCAGGCAGGCAATGAGGGACAGTGTCACCTGAGAAATGAGAAACAAATGAATGAGCCCAGTGATTGCCCCAGGTTACTGCCCTGAGAGAGTTTCTGGGCTGCAAGGGAGGGACAGGGAACTAAGGCACAGCCCAGTGAACTCTCAGAACTGATGAGACAGAACTGACAGCAAGGAGAGACCAAGTCAGCTAGAGTTCATGAACAAAGTACGGGGAGGAGAAAGCTACACAGAGAGAGAATCGGAGAGATCTTATGGGCCCATTTATCTATGCAAAAATATCCCTTCAGGTGATATGGATGACTCTTCCCTGAGTTAACTGGTGTTCAGCTTACTCTGTAAGATGACATCGGTCACATTAAGTACATGTTTTCAAAGAAACTACCCAAGGCCTGGGGGAAAACCCATTTAAGAGGATTAGAGGGAACAGGGCCTAACATTCACACAGGGCCAATCTATATAGCAGGCTACAGAAAAAACTCATAATTCTTTCTCTACCTCTTATAAGTTGTATGCCCTTTGGCAAATTATTTAAATTCTCTGTGCTTCAATTTCTTTGTCTGTAAAATGGACACAAATAAATGCACTTACCTTAAAGTGTTGGTATAAGCACTTAAGAAGTTAATACACATAAAGACTTAGTGCTTGACACTTGTTAAGCCATTAGCTATTATTATTATCCAACATATTTGGGGTTGGTTGGTTAATTGAAAAAGTTTATTAAAGTGGGGAATCACCCAAAAAAGAAAATATATAAATACACTGGAAAATGTTGTTTGTTGTTCCCCAACATCCATTTTCCCTTCTCTCATGGAATACTTAATGATAGCCTCTAAAATACTGCACAATGATTCCTGCCTCCTGCCTCCTGGTGCTCAGACCTTTGTGTAACTCCTTCCCCTTGAGTGTGGGCTAGACTTAGTGACTTGCTTCTAACAAAGAGAATACAGCAAAAGTGATTGTATGTCCTTCTGAGATTAGGTTACAGAAAGATTCTGGCTTCTGTCTTGCTCATTCTCTTCTTTTCTCCACCTACTTTGAGGGAAGCTAGCTGCCATGTTGTGAGCTGCCATACAGAGATTGATGAGACAAATAAAGAGTTAACGGGAGTGGGCTCGTGAGCTGGCAGGATGGGACAAAGAGTTAAAAGGAGCGAGCTTGTGGGCTAACAGGAACGGGCTTAAACATTAACCACTTGGCTCTGACTCCCCTGGCTAGCACTGCACCTACAAGCTGACAAGCACCTTACATCCATCATAGGTGAGAACAGAACAGTTTTCAATCGCAATGGCAAACCCCTGCAAGCTGACATAGATGGGAACAGGATAGTTCCCAGGAGAAGACAATTGTAATGGCAGCACCCCACCCCCGCCCCCACCCCGCCCCCTGCAAGCTGACAAGCGCCCTACATCCTGCTTAGAAAAGTATAAAACCCAAGCACTCCTTCTCATCAGTGCAGTTGTCCCCCATCAAACTCTGCGCTGGCACAACTCCTGCCAATTCCAAACAGAACTCTTGCTCTCCCTTTTCGACTTTCAGTACAATCTTTTCTCTGGAGACTCTTGTAGAGTCTTGTAAATTCTTTTTACATTCTGCGAACGACCAGGGGTTAATTCTATCCCGAGACAGAGATGATATAGGATCCTGGTGCCTGGTGCCTGGAGATTGTGGTCTCACGTACCGAAGAATGAGAACGTGGACTCAGAAGGGGAGGTAGAGGAGCAAAGATTTTTATTGGAGCAAAAGTACAGCTCTCTTACAAGAGGGGGTACCTGAAACTGGGAGGCCCACTGACTAAGGCAAAATGCTCTTATTTTTATCCTTTTTCTTGCCTGCTTGGGGAAGGGAGCTGGCACCTTCTGATGAGTTCTGTCTATCAGATTTGTTCTGTTGTCCAGCCTAAAGGGATTTACAAGATAACCGATAACCCATTTACCCCTCCCCCTGTGCAGTTACATTTTTGCCCTGGAATGAATGAGTCAGTCCAGAGTTCAGGACCACCTAGAGTTTCAGGATATGGCTGCCTTTGTTTATTCTATCAGGGACTTCCCTGTTTACCTAATAACATGCTAGCCAACCTGTCTCAGAGAGGCCCACATGGCAAGAAACAAATTTCTTTAGCAATAGCCACTGAAGACTTGATGGCTGCCAATGGTCCTGTGCGTAAGCCTGGAAGTGATGCTCCCCAAATATAACCTTCAGATGACTGCAGCCCTCACCAATACCTTGGCTATAGCCTTCTAATAGATCCAGAGCCAGAGGACCCAGCTAAGCTAAACCCTGATTCCTGACCCACAGAAGCCGTGAAGTAAATGTTTTTTGTTTTATGCCTTTATGTTTTGGAGTAGTTTGTTACAAAGCAATAGATAACTATTACAATAATAGAAACTCTGATTTTAGCTGAACAAATAGACTACTAGAATAAAGACTATGTTTCTAGACGCCCTCATGTTTAGATGTAGCCATGTGACTGAGAAGTAGCCAACAGAATGTGACAGGTGATGTGCTAAGTTTTCAGATCAAGGATTTTTAAAAGTGGCTATGTAAGCGCTTAGTTCTCTAGTTAAGACACAGAAAATTATAATTGTGGAGCTACAACATAGTAAAGCCTGATCGCCACAGAGAGGAGGGCTCCCCACCGACCAGCATCATTCATCTGAACAGTTATGTGAGTGAGAAGTAAATGTTTACTGTGTCTGAGTCATGATCATTTGGGGATTTATTTGTTATTGTAACAGTGACCTTCTATTTTGAAATTTAAACCTTTGACATAATTCGATTTAACTGAGCGTTGGCTTGGGAGTTTTTGAAAATTGTTTTTGCTTCTCTTCCCTCCCACCAAACCTTAATAATTCTGTTTACTGTACATTTACTACGCATACCAGTTCCAACGGTTCTGTTTACTTCGGGCCCATGGCTGGCCCTGTGACTTGGGAGAGGTTTTTGTATCCATATAGGATTCACTCCTGACCCTGGGGCAGACCAGCCCCTGGGAAGGCTTTTTCCTGGAGCTGCCTGGCCACCTTCCCCTTCCTTTGTCGCCTCTCCTTGCCTGCCTAGAAAACCTTTTGGCAGCATTAAGAGAAGGAAGGCAGTCTTTGTGACAGGGAGTCCACTGTCTTCCTTTAATGCTGGCATTTTGGAATAAACCTGCTTTTCTTTCCACTAACCTCGCCTCTTGAGTTTTGGCTTTTCTGTGGTGAGCAGCAGGACCTTTTGCTGGTAACATCTCCACAGACAACTATGCTAATTAACACTTTTATGTGAAAGAAAAATACACTTTTATCTGGAGAAATCACTATTATTTTGACTCTCCGACACACGAAGCCTGACTTACATCTTTTCCCACACTTAGTCATGTCCCACTTTCCTGTATTTTGCTTTATTTATTACTCTGGAGAGAGCAAAATTAAACTAGTCAGATTTTCTTCTGATTGGTTGAGTTCACTAGAGCAGTGGTTCTTAAACTTTATCAAACATTAGACTCACTCCAGTGTTTGTTAAACCAGATTCCTGGGGCCTTCCCAGAGTTTCTTTTCTGATCCAGCAGTTCTGGTGTTTCTAGCAAATTCTCAGATGACGCTGATGCTGCTTGCTGGACTTTGAGAACCACTATACTGAGGCTCCCAGAAAGGTGGATGTTTAAGTGTGACCACCGTAATTCATATTTATAAAAGCTAACAACCACAAAAATAAAAACTACACATGCAGACAAAAGTGAACCTCTAGGAATCTACAGATATTCCCATTTAGTCTACATAGAGTTGCTTTACTTGTACTATGAAAAGGTTTCTGCCATTTAAACACCTACGTAACTGGTCCAGCCAGATTCTGGCCATTTAGTGTTTCACAAAATGGGCACACTCCGGGTTGAGAAATATTAGCAACCATCTGACAGATGTTTGAGCCTCCTTCACTTGAGAGGGAAAATGCCTCCGATAACCTCAAAGGAAATGTCATGTATTTCCCTATGGTAGAGCATCATTTAGGGGGAATGTTTCCACAAATACGGTAAACCTGCTTGGTACGAGACTCTGAGCTACAGACGTCAGGGCCAGTTAAAAAGCAAAGAAACAAACAAAAAAAACCCTGAAACTATTTTCCACAGCCTTAGTACAGTACCTGAGTCAGGTTTCCGCCCTTCCTCCTGTCAGGAGGGAAAGTGGGGCGTGACCGAGAGCGCGGCGCCCACGTGACCTGGGAGAGCCGCGCTCAGCCAGGTCGCGCGATCCGCCGTCATATCAGCTTATGCCACCGGCCGCTGATTGGCTGGCGGCTCCAGCGCTCGGAGCGTGAGGGTCTCGCTCCGCCCCCTCCAGGCAGCGCCCGCTAGCTGACCGCGGCGGTTCGCGAACCCTGGCAGCCTGGGACCCGACATCAGCTGAAACGGCGCGGGACCCTCACTAGGTAGGATGGCAGGAGGGTGGGGAAGGAGGCGGAATTCACCTGAGCTGGACGGGAGAGGAGAGAAAGAAGTGAGTTGGCGAGAAACAGCAAAGATGGCACCCAGATGGGGAGGTTAAGAGTGCCTCTGGCCCTTTCTTTTCCATCATGCTGGAGGCGTTCATTGAATGCCTGCTAGATGCCAGGCACTGGGCAGGCGCTGGAGGTATAAGGGTGAAACTGGCGGTAGGAATCCTGCGCTGGGCAGTAGCAGAGGCCGACAGGTAGGTGGGCATCCTGAAAATACAGGCTGCGAGGGCTGTGATGGGGCGAGTGCAGGGCTCAGCGGACAAACGCTGGCCGGGGCTGGAGGGAGAAGGGTTTTGGCCAAGCAGAGACAACTGGTTAGGGGCCACTGCGCGGCTATAGGAGATACTTCAGGCGCCAAGGAGGCCTGAATGTGAAAGAAACTGACACATGGATGGGTGTGAAAAAAAAGAAAATATTTTTTATTGGCTATTGTAGATATCTTAGCCAAAGGAAGTCTAGCCACTGAACACTAATGCTTTACTTTGTGCCAGATTTCCGTCAGTTCATGAAGGGATTTTTTTCCCCTTAAAAAAATTTTCTTTTTATTAGTTTCAGGTGTACAAAACAATGTAATAGACATTTATACCTCTCACAAAGTGATAACCCCCTCAATCTACTGCCCCTCTGACATCATATATAGCTGTTACAATTCCATTGACTCTATTCCCTATGCTGTACTCCACTTCCCATGACCATACACACACACACACACACACACACACACACACAGAGTGCCAAAAAATGTATACACAATTTAGAAAAGGAAAAAACTATTAAAATTGTAATACTCAATATATACCGATAACAAAAGATGAATACAAGTCATGTTTGACTTCTGCAATTACAAGAGGTGCTCAAAGTGGTTACCGTCAGCCTCCAGACACTTGTGATTAGGCGAACTAATGCTTGAGCAATGGACCAAAGTGTCCACTTGTATACATTTTTGGCACCTCCAGCGTGCGTGTATGTATTATAGTTGACATTCAGTATTATTCAGCTTCATCTTCAGGTGCACAGTGCAGTGGTCAGACATCTACACACCTTGTTTTTTAAGGGGCAAAGGAATTAGACTGATGAACTAGTCATCTGTGACTTCTTGAGTTTTGCTGTTCCAGCCCCAGTGACTGCAACATAATCAGGGTGGGAGATGGCACAACAGTACTTGGTTTGAGGAGACTAGAATGGAAGGGAAATAATCTATTTAGCATTGTAAAAGAAAAAATAATTTCTACTAGCATTTCTGTCTAATAGCAGAATAAATTTAGAGATCATACAGAAGAAAAAATTACCTTGGTAGATAAAGTTTCCAAACTGGAAAGTTTGTGGTAGCTGGGTATTTTTAGCCAAAACCTGCTTGGTTACCTGTCTTTATAGCACCTTCCTTTCTTTTTTTTTTTCTTTCTTAAATTTGTAATGATGAACACCTACAAATAATAATAAGTACATGACCCTGGATCTTTAAAGAGTGCTTTTCCATTCATTATGTATTGTAACTAACATGGGATACTGAATTCCCCATTGGCATATATTATCTTGAAAGATAATATAATGTACTCATAGTAGCTAAGAGAACAGGCTCTGGAATATACATCCCAGCCGCTATTTGTTACTGTTACTTGTTACTGAACAAGTTATTTACATATTCCTGACCTCAAGCTCCCCATCTATAAAATGGGGGTTATAGAAATACCTACCTTATAAGGTTACAAAAATTAAGCAACACAATACATACAAAGTGCTTTAAATAATAACTTGGTTCTTAATAAATGTTAGCTATTATCTATACTTTTAAGGTAAAGCATAAAGGTAATTGTAGACTTAGTCATTCTAAGCCTAACTGTTTTATTGATAACTATGTTTTTAAAAAAGCTTTCTTTGTTTTTGTGAAGGTAAAATAATATTTAATATAAGCTTCTATTTAGGCAAGGGTACTTAATTCAGGATTTGTGCAGCCCCTTCAAATTATATGCAGAATTATATGAGCTTGTCGCATCACTGAGAATTTTAAAAATTAAAGAGCTGAAGAGTTGAAATAGTGACAAAGAGGCAATGGAACTTGGTTAAAGGTCAATGGACTTTGCAACCAGACTGTATATGTTTGAATCCCAGCTCCAGTATTTATTTATTCCATGGCCCTGAGCAAGTCACTTTCTTGCTCAGCAAGAATTTTCTGTGCCTAGCTTTTTAATCTGTAAAATAAGAATATTAGTACTTAACTCTTGGGTAACCTTTTTTTTGAAAGGGTTAAATGAATTAATATTTACAGTACCTAGTGTATAAGAAATATTAATATTTCTATTATTTTCAATTATCAATTAGCCATTAATTATTTTTCAAAGAAAAATCAAATGGCACCTTTTTCTGCCTAGGTTAAGGTAGTTTTGACTCTGCTTTGGCTCCCATAACAGCAATAATAACAGCTCCTATTTAATAACTACCTTCCAGGTATCAGATGGTGCCAAACAACTATGTACTTAGTGTCCAAATCTTCCAACATCCTACAGTGTAGATATGTTATCTCCAGTTTGTGGGTTTGATAAATTTTAAAAGTGAATTGCAGTTTTGCAATCATATTGTTATTGATTTCAGAAGATTTTATGTAGATGTCAGAAATTACAGCCGTATATTCATGAATACTTACTACATTCAACAAATAGAATGGACTGAATCCAAAATTCTAAAACCACTTAAAACAGGTTTGATTTCACAATATCTAAACTGCCTCTGGGTTGACTAAGGTATATTGTCCTCTGCCTTCCATGTATTGGTTTACTGTAATAGCAATTATATACATGGAATATACAAATTAACACAATTAGCATAATCTTCAAGTAAAAGCAATATTAAAAACTTTTAAAGTTAAGGACTGAGATCTTATCAAAGCTTTTACTTACACCTGATATGAAAGATTGAATAAAGAAGATTCTTGATTAACATCTGAATTCTTTTTGGCTGCATTGTACTATCTCAGTTACTATATTGAATTAGGGCCATGTGGCACTGTAGGTAACATGCAGGTTAGCCCATCAACTCTTACCAACCTTTAGTAGTGTAGCAATATCCTTTTCAGTTGTTAGGTTCTTGTTTAATGTTTGTTTCCTGGTATTACTTATTCAGTGTACTTCCCCTGCTACATTGTCTCCTTTGACAGTCTCTACCCTTTATGGCTTCAACTTCAACTATTAGGCTCACTGTTGAAACTTCAGATTCATATTTGCATATAGTCTACTGCTTATATCCAGGAGCCCAGATGAATCACAGGCAATTAGATTCAAGACCTAAACCGAACCCATCATTCTTCACACACATCCTATCCCTATCACTAGCTCCCCCAATAGTCTCTATTTCTGTTTGTCTGACAGTGGAGCGAAGGTATAGTGACCACCCAACCAAGAAGATAAATTAAGACTGAAGAATGAAGCAGGCAACTCTATTAATTTTAACAGAAGTTATTGTAAGGTAATTTACTTATAGGAAAATTTGGTCTGAATGGAATGACTACCCAGCGCTCTGTACAGATTATTCTCTGCTGCTAGATAGTTGTTACAGTAAATGTTTTATAGTATAGCTGAACTACTGATGATTGACAAGATAAAAGGACAAAGACTAGTAAGAGCCGGAACCATACCTCCTGGTGGTTTTACAATGATGGATACTTGCTTACAATTGATGCCATCACCTAGTTTGATAATGATCTCAGTTGCTCTGCCATTCTGGCCCTTGGCAGGAATCTCTATGGCTGCATTGTGTAAGCTTATAGGACACAGCTTTGGTGCTGACTGAGACCAGTTAGGTCAGGGTTCAGAACCTGGAAACTAGAAAGAAATCGGGGCATGCAAAGATGGAGTCAGCTCTGTTTACATTTATACGAATACACTTATAATGACAGCACCATTCACTCAGGCAAGCTAAAAATCTCATAGTCATCCTAGATTTCTCCCTCTTTCACATTTGAGTATCTAATCAGTTATTAAATCCTATTGCGTTTTTTTACTTGCCAGATCTCTGATGAATATATCTATTCCAGGGGTCAGCAAACTGCGGCTCGCAAGCCACATGAGACTCTTTGGGTGCATATGTGTGGCTCTGAAGTAAAATTGAAAATGAAAATAAAACTATCATAGTTTCATTTATAAAATTTTTAAAGGATATTATTCACATAATGGTGATTTCATTTGTTTTATGGCTCTCGAATAATTTTTAAATTGTTGTGAGGGACAGGATTGGCTCTTCTGTCTCAAAAGTTTGCCGACCCCTGATCTAGTCTAACATCTCTGGCTTAGTCTATCATAGGATCAACTAAACTAGCCTCCTTGCTTCTCATCAATACTCCGTATTCCTAATGGAATGTTTTTTATGAAATGTGGGTCTGATTATACCTCTTTCCTACTGAAAAATCGTTAGTTTCTCCCAATTGTGTGTGAAAGTCCAAATTCCTCAGCAGTCCATCAGATCCCTTCACAGTCTAATACCAGTTTCCTTTTACCAAGGTTCATCCTTGAACATTTTTTTCCCCCTCTGGTTCACCCCATCACACTGTTTGGCAGCCAGCAACCACAGTGAGCCATGAATGTACCATGACCTTTCCAAACCTTTGCAGTTGTTATTGTTATTTGAAATGGCTACCCCTAACCTTTTCTTTATGGTATGTTGTTCAAAGCCTCCCACTGTAAGCTGAGGTAGTTGTGTTGTCTTTTCTGATTTCATAGAATTTGCATATATGCCTTTATTATAGAGCTTGTCATATTAATGAAATTATTTGTTTCTGTAATTGCCTTTAAAATGGATTTATATCTTTTTAATATGCTTTTTACCTAGTATAGTGTTTGATATTTAATTGTTATTTGAATGAATCAACAATGTATAGTGAAGGATATATGTCAACTTCTAGCATTTGGTATTAATGAAAATTTTTTTTCTGTGACAAACCGAGAAAGAAATGCTTGTAACTCATATCACAAACAAGGGGCTAAACACCTTAATAAATAAAGAGCTTCTTGAATTTGATTTTAAGAGACTAAAAACCCAGTGGGAAAATGAGCAATGGAAAAAAAACAGATAATTCACAGAAAAAATGTAAATTATTCTAAATATATGAAATGTTGTTCAACCTCACTCATAATAAGATAAATGTAAATGAAATGTACACTGAGATATTGCTTTGCTATCAGATTGAATATTCAAAAGTTTGATGATTGTTTTGTTCGTAAGGTCGTAAGGAAATAGACAGTATCCTACATTGCTATGTACTTGCAAAGTAATATAGCTTCTATGAGGACCAATTGAACAATATTTACTAAAGTTACCAGTGCAGTTACTCCTTGACCTAGGTCCTCTGCTTGTAGAAGTTTATCAAGTAGGGTCATTGTAGCATTGTTTGTAATAGCAAAAAGTTAGAGTCTATCCAAATACCTATATGCGGGTTAAATAAACAGCAGTGAGGTCACACAAAGAACTTAAGCCCATAGTCCTTGAACCATAGTTTCAAAGTCTGGAAATCCCTGAAAACCAAAAGGTTTTTGTTTGTTTGTTTGTTTGTTTGTTTGTTTTTTAAAGCTTGGCACTCAAACTCATTTGATGGCCAGAGCTTGACCCCAACTGGCTGAGGCGCCCATTGTGTCTTGGTGCACCTACCAGATACTCCTGCTTCTGCTGTTTTTTCGTACTATTTTGTGACTTTGTGTTTAGTTGCACATGATAATATGAAAAATAGTTAAAGATAGCCCTTTAAATAACAGTGACTAAACATAGTAGGGTTAGAAATAGCACAGGACAAGGGAGTATTCTTGTGAGGCCGCATACTAAAGGAGACAGTAGAAACTACCACTGTGTATGTCTTAAAGAAAGATTGCTGAAGTTTACACTGGCAACGAGAACCACAAACTGATGAAAAATAGAAACCATTGCATGGGACAGAAAAATGAAGATCCTAACCTTGTTTTAATTGCATGAATTTGACAATAAGGAAGTAAATAAATGCCACTAATTGCTTTGTCGATCATGAAACAAGCTAGAATATATCATGAAGAACTGCTACTGAAGATGACTGTTAGTATCAAGAAGGGAGGATTCAGAAATTTAGGACGCAGTGTGTGGTGAAAAATATCTGAAAGGCTGATGAAAATTATTCTGTTAAACATTACCTTGATGAGTTTGCCAAGACCTGTTGAAAACCTGAGTGGTGAATAAGTTTGCAGTCGTGATGAAATATTCTGTACTTGCTTTTCATTCCTAAAAAAACCCCAAAAAACTTTAGACAACAGGAGAGAGATTTTAATACTAAGTAAAAGTTGATAACTATAGAAGGTGCCAATGTTCCAAACACATAAAAAAATAATTTTAGTTGGCAGTGATTAGAAAAAGCCAGCATCTACAGTGTTTGAATGAGTCACAAAATACCTGGGCATCTTTATGTAAAAAGTAACACTTATGCTGGTGGTACAAGCTCTAGGCAGGCTGGACTGAAAGACAGTTGAAGATGTTTAATTATATAGGTTGCTCTTTTGTGAATTCTCCTCAACTGTTTTGTTTTGTTTTTTAACTTTATTGGGAAGCAGTGCACTTTTCCCAGGACCCATCAGTTCCAAGTCAAGTTGTTGAGCTTCAACCAGTCTTAGTTGCGGAGGGCGTAAGCTACAGCTCCAAGTCCAGTTACTGCTTCAATCTAGTTGCAGTGGGGGAGGGGAGAGCAGCGCAGCCCACCATCCCATGAGGGAGTCGAACCAGAAACCTTGTTGTTAAGAGCATGTGCTCTCACCAGCTGAGCCATCCAGCTGCCTGTTGGCAGCTCAAGCGGCGGCTCAACTGGGGCGCAGCTCACTGGCCTATGTGGGAGTCGAACCAGCAACCGTGTTGCTCAGAGCTCGCGCTCTAACTAACTGAGCCACCCAGCCAGCCCCTCTCCTCAACTTTTTGTTAAAATAATGTTTTTAGCATTTACTTGCCCCCCACTGTGACTGGAATACAGCTTTTTTTTCACCAAAGTATGTTACAGTCTGGGAAAAGCAAGTGTACTGCCTGCAGTAGTTAACAGAGGCCTAGGAATCAAAACTTCCTATAAGCGTTCAGTCACAAAGATCTTGTGTTCACAATTGCCAATGCTTGAAATGATATTGCTCAATCAGCATTAATAAATGCTTAACATTTTAGCTGCTGATGAGGTTTGAAAATGAACCTGCAGATAAAGATTTTAAAAGATTTAATGTCACCTGTGAGAAGATAATGCCTGACTTCATTAATTACACCATATATTTTAACAGCCAAAACCACAAATAAGTCAGGAGAAGCTGACACTGAAGAAATGCGGAACACTGATCAGGATGCTTGTGTTATGTATTTCTTTGGTGGTGAGGAAATTGCTGAAAGGTTGTTACATGCACTTAAGTTTGAGGACGGTCATAGCTACATTAATGATGATGACAACACGGCTGCATTGTGAACACAAATGGGAAAATTGCTGAAGGCATTTATGGTAAGCAATTTAACCACAATTGCTTAGGCAGAAACATGTTAATGAGACAGATGACAATGGCAGAAATCTTTTCAAAAGGCTATCTTGAGTAGTGTTGGCTTTATCATTTGAGAGTCCTGATCCTGACCCATCTTCAGTGTCTAATTCCAATCTGATGTATCCTTCTCTCTAAAATCCTTAAAATGGGTAAAAATATAATTTATTGCACTGTTTTGTACACCTGAAACTAATAAAAAAGTAAAATAAAATAAAATCCTTAAGCACCAGATTTATGAATATTACACATATATGAACACACACATCCACAGGTAGTTAGTTATCTTTGGTATGTATTTGAAGGTTTACTGAATATTTTCCTCTAAAAATAGAAGTAATAAAGTACTATTATGTCTATACCAATTCTACTTTTTATTAGTTTAGTACCACATATATAATCACATAAATTATTACCATACAAATGAACTGTACTGCTGTTTACAGTGTATCCCATTTAATGTGAACATTTATACATTTTTTAAACAAAAATTTATGTGTTTAATATCAGGGAGATAATTTGAACTTTGAAAAATCTAGACATTCTGAACTTCAAAATACATCTGAAACCAAATGTTTTATGAAAGAATAATAGACCTGTACTATAAAAAATGGAGGAGGTGGTGACTTTCAGAATAGCAGAGTAAAAACCTCTGAAAATCTGCTTCTCTATAAAAGCAACAAAATACTGACAAAAGTCAAAATCAGCTTTTTTAGAACTCTAGAAATTAAAGGTTTACCACAATCCTAGAAATGTTTATTTGAGAAAAGTAGCTGAACTTCAGTAACAAGAGCAAGCTTTGTGGCATTTTCAGTTTCACCGTTTCCATCTCCCTTTCCTCAGCTCTGTGGTAGCCTTGAAAACTAACAGCTTTGCAAGTACAGTAACTGAAAAACAGCAGACTAGCAACCAGGAAGGGACAGGACAGGTTTTCAGTTCTCCCAAAAGCCCCAACCCAGATAATTTTCACTATTTGACCTCTCTGGCAGTTCCCTGAAAAACTTTTTCTGGGGGCTTGACTTTATTTGACTTGACTTAGAGCTTGCTTGGTGTTAACAGTCCTGCCCCAGGGGTTTTGTCAAGACAATCATTAGTGATTGTTTAACATCACAGCTACAGGAAGGTGTAGCTATGTCAATAGGTGACAGTTGGCACTAACAAGAGCCTGACCAAAAAACTTAAAACACTGAGGAATGTCCATTGGGGGCTTTGCAAAGCTCTGGTATTTTATTGGGAATCTGAAATGATTCCCATGAAAAGGGCTGTGTACATACCAAAGAAAGATGGGAGAAGGCCCTAATCTCTCACTTCTGGCTGACCTTGCAGGCCTGTGCAAGCAGGAAGTGAAGGGTACGTCAGCGTTGTCTTCAGTGCTGCCTACAGAAGCATTGAAAACACAGCACCCCAGCAAAGATTGGAAGGCTTAACTGATTTAAGGCATTTAAGGAAATCTGTCCAGCCATTAGTGAGCAGACTTCAGTCGGTGTGTAAAACAAGGAATACAGGTGTTATACAGTTAGTCTGGGGAAGTCACTTATACATCAACAGCAGCATAAAATCCTAAAGGAGGCCCATGGGGAATCTGATTTCCAGAGCTGCCACATTATATTATTTATAATGTTCTGTTTTCCATTAAAAAAATTATGAGACGCACAAAGGAATAGGTAAGAATGGCCTAAACACACACAAAAAATTCAGTCAGTTGAAGCTATCTCTGAGAAAGTGAAGCTATTGGATTTACTGGACAAAGACTTTAAAATCGGCTACTATAAATATGTTTAAAGAACATCATGCCTAAATAACTAAAAGAAAGTATGAGAATAATTCCCCACTGGATAGAGACTATATCGATAAAGTGATAGAATTAGTATTATTTTTTTTTAAAGAACCAAATAGGGGTCACTGGTTAGCTCAGTTGGTTAGAGCATTGTGCTGATAACACCAAGGTTGTCGGTTTGATCCCTGCATGGGCCACCGTGAGCTGTGCCCTCCTTAAAAGAGTCAACTATGCCATTGTTTCATGGAAGCAATGTGTAACCAATGACCATGGCTGTTCCCTAATAAAATTCAAAAAAATAAATGCCTCCCTTTGTTCTGTCAACGAGAGTGGCCTTTTCTTCTTTCACAAGAACAGTTAGTCCCTGACTTATATGCTTGTGGTGGCAACATAGATAGAAACCTTTTGGGGAATTCATCTTAAGTTTCAGCACTGAAGCAAAAATCTCTGAAATATGAATACTAAATGCCCTGTGTTCCATTTTTTTACTTACTTGCCATGTTACCATAGGGCGTAGTAGAAAAGAACACTAAGATGGAATTAGATCTGGACTTATATAATAATATGTTTGGCCTTAGAGAGAAAACTTCCTGGGCCTCAGTTTCTCTAACTGAGCTTTGGTGTCCCCATGTATAATATGAAGAGATTGGACTAGAGATGATATTTAAGATCGCTTCTAGCTCTAAAGATGGCGTTTAGGGGATGCAGGTAGGAGCAAACTTGTACTATATATGTTTATTAAAGCAGGAACTTCGTATATAGTTTTTCTGAAAACTTTTTGCTTTGAAAAATGTCAAAGTGAGTTAATAATTGTACATGTTTATCCTTTAGGGGCTAAGATGGACCTTGTACTCAGTGCTGCAGATTATTATTTTTTCACACCATACATATATCCAGTCACATGGCCAGAGGATGATTTTTTCCGACAAACTATTAGTCTCCTGATTGTAACAAATCTTGGTGCTTATATCCTGTATTTCTTCTTTGCAACGCTGAACTATTATTTTGTCTTCGATCATTCATTAATGAAACATCCACAATTTTTAAAGGTAAGTGATTTTCTTACCTATTTTTTAACTACTGTTACAGTAAAAATAGCAGTATGATGAATTTATGAGATTTTTCAGATTAAACTGGTTATAACCATTAAATAAAGTTTTTGAAACCATCCCCAAATGGGTTAGACATGTTGGGTATGGCTAATCCCACCTCTCCTTCCCTTACTTTAAACAAATAAATGAATCCAGCTTTTTTAAACCAAAAGCTTGGTATTTTGCTAGTTCTATAAATAAAAATTTCTTTGCTAATAGTGATAAATGAATAAATGCATGCTTTTGTGTAGTTATTGTAAAGTTTTACTTTCATAAACTGAAATATGTTTTTACTGTGTATATTTTTCTTTGAGTAGATAGAGGATTCAAACTCAATGGTTTTAGATTTGTTTACAATCATTTTTCTGTTTCAATTATTTGTATTTGTCAAATACGAATCTCAAATATAAGTCTCCAAGGACTTGGAAAAAAAATAGAAAGGGCTAGGGATGGAAGTTAATTTTGAAAGAAATGAGTACAGATTTTGTGGGAAGGAGAAAAAGTTTGAGAATTTTAAATATTTATTGCTTTTGCTCAGTACAAAAAGAATATTTTTTCTTACACACCCATTCCTACATATTAACATTTTAATAGAAACAATTTGGAGGTAAGCTCCTTCATATAAAAGAGATTTTAAAAATCCAGTTTAAAACAACTTAATGCTAGGTTTGCTTAATATAGATTTTGTGATTTTTAAGTGTTGGAAATTTTATTTTCAGAATCAAGTCTATCGAGAGATTATGTTTACTGTCCAGGCATTGCCGTGGATAAGTATTCCCACTGTTTCATTGTTCATGCTAGAGTTGAGAGGTTACAGCAAATTATATGATGACATAGGAGAGTTTCCTAATGGTAAGTAAATAATAAGAATGTCAGGCACAGGTTGGTTTTCCTAAAGAACCAAATCTGCCTCTTTTTTCTTTTAAAAAAATAATTACAAATTGTTCAGTTGTTTTTTAATGTTGTACTTTTATGCACTTATGTCTTGCCACATGTATGCATGTCTTTAAGTTTATCAGTTTTAAACTCTGTTTTAGATGAAATTGTGCCTGGGGGAAAATCGGTGTGATCAGATGTAGGCTTTCGCATCGCGTTCATTTCCTATGATCTGCGTTGAATTCAATCTTCTAAAAAAAACCCAAAAACTCAAGTAGTACATGACAATTATAGAAAACTAGAAAATATATTTCTCTTAGCAATATATATACCCGTATTTTCATGTGTGTAAGTTTGGCATTACATAGTATATTAGTTATAGTGTCTCATTGTATATAGATATCCATAGTTTATTTAAATGATCTCTAATTTTTAGACCTGTAGATTGTTTCTTTTTGTCTATTATAAATAGTTCTGCAGTAACTAAACTAAATTTTTGTGAAATTCTGAATTTATTTCATCCAGATACATTTCTAGTGTCTGGTATTAGAAAGTAAGAATCATAGTTAACATTTACTGAATGTTAATAAGTACCAGCTACAGTTTTAAGCTTTTCACATATATCAATCCGTTTTATTCTACATCAGTTCTATGAGGTAGGTACAATTATTATGCTGTTTTTATAGGTGAGTACATTAAGTATACAGAGAATTTCAGTAACTTGCCCACGTTACTCACAAATACATGGTGGATGTGGGACTGGAACCCAGGATTGCTGACATCAGCACCCCTGCTTTCTAAGTAAGAGGTTAGTTAGTTAAAGAAGGAAACAAAAATCATACACTAAGGTGATGAATTGACTAGGCTTTGAAAAGTTGGTATGATTATAAGTAAAAATAAAAGGGGGAAGGGCATTCTAAATACATGGAACAGTATGAGTAAAGGTACAGAGGTAATACTTTCAAGATGCTGGGAGGACATTGAGTAAACCAGCCTGGTTAGTACAAAAACAGATGAGGTTGAAAAGATCGGAAAGGGTTAGGTTATGGAGTCAATGCTTGGCTTAAGGTATTTAATGGGGAAAAAAATTCTAAGCAGGGAGATAATGTGTAAAGATATGTTTATAAAGGAAATTATTAAATAGCATTATTCTCAGAGATTTAAATAATAAAGATGCCTCAGGGATACCCTTTTTCTGTCTCATTAATATCTTAATAGTTAAATTAAGAAATATTTTAGATGGGACACTTCCAAGTTTTTATATGAGGGAAATGAGGAAATGAGCAGATTCCAGAGAGTCAAGGGAGATTAATTTATAATGTGGTGAGTTAGCCAAAACAGATAGTTTATAGTGTTTGAGTTTAGGATCATATTTTGCATGTAGACATAGAAAAAGTAAATGCTGACTTGATTCTGCTATATACCCTGTTTTCGTTTCTAGGTTGGTTTCAACTTGTTGTTAGTATACTGTCCTTCCTGTTTTTCACTGACATGCTAATCTACTGGATTCACAGAGGCCTTCATCATAGACTTGTATATAAGGTAAAGTCATTTGTAGGGGAAAGAGAAAAAAATATTATACATTTTAGCAGTGTATGTTTGTAAATTCTATTCTCTATTTCCAAGAATTTTCTCCAACTATATTAAATACCTACGTAGCCATAGTCATAACAGGTACCAGGTACATTTTGTTTGTGTTTTTTACAGGTTTGGAGGGTTTGGGTAAAAATGTTACTGTTTAAGGATAAAGAAGGAAGGCATTTTATAAAGTGATTTTGCTAATTTCAAAGGGATTTTTTAGTTAGGTCATTTTATACATGCGTACGAAATGCTAAATTGAATGATGTATGGGGTAATATATGTGATGGTAATGGTGTTTTTTTTCTTATATAGCACATACATAAACCTCATCATATCTGGAAGATCCCTACTCCATTTGCAAGTCATGCTTTTCACCCTGTGGATGGCTTCCTTCAAAGTCTACCTTACCATATATACCCTTTTATCTTTCCATTACACAAGATAGTTTATTTAGGTTTGTACATCTTGGTCAACATCTGGACAATTTCCATTCATGATGGTGATTTTCGTGTTCCCCAAATCTTACAGCCATTTATTAATGGTTCAGCTCACCATACAGACCACCACATGTTCTTTGACTATAACTATGGACAGTATTTCACATTGTGGGATCGAATTGGAGGCTCGTTCAAAAATCCTTCCGCCTTTGAAGGGAAGGGACCCCTTAGTTATGTTAAGAAGATGACAGAAGAAAAGTACAGCGGCCATACAGGAAATGGTTGTAAAAATGAAAAATTATTAGATGGTGAGTTTACAAAGACTGAGTAAATTATTGCCCAATTATTAAATATTTTTAATAAGGAAAAGTAATCTACATACAGCCAAGAGACATAGCGAGTAGATGATATCATTTGAAAATCAGCATTGTGGGCACTACTGAGGAATGATCATAATGGTAGGTCAAGGTGAACACCGTGATTTTAACCCCATGCTTAAAATACTAGATGTTGGCCTAAGGGACAACTTATGTCTTTCTATCCAGCAGATCTGTAATCTGTATAGTCTCAACAACTATTTCAAAAAGATAGAGAATAAATTATTGAGAAGACTAGGTTATGCCCTTTTGCCTTAATCTACCATATTCATTAAGAGAAATTCATTGTGCTTAATAATACCAAGACTAAGCACCATAATAAAGAAATACTAATATAAAGATGGTTCCTTGTTTCAGGAATGGTTACATCTTCAGTGTTGGTATGATTTAAGTGGAAACAGTGTGAAAAAAATACTGATATAACATATTAGTCGCATTGTAAATGACCTAATTAATAGCAGGAGTAATTAGATTATCACTGCCTACACATAGGAAGCTTATTCTCTGGGGACATTGTCAAATATTACATTTTACTAATGAATGAATAAATTGGAATTTTTAAAAATAATTGATACTACCATGATTTAATCCAGATCTGGGATTATTTAAGGATTTTGATGGTTATTATTTAAAACCATTATTTAGTAAGTCTAAAAATATGTGACTGATTATATAGTAGTCCCCTCTTATTCTTCGGAGATACGTTCCAAGACGCCCAGTGAATGCCTGAAATTGCAGGTAGTTCCAAACACTATATATACTATATTTTTTCTATACATACATAGCTATGATAAAGCTTAATTTATAAATTAGGCACAGTCAGATTGACAGCAATAACTAATAAACTGCTGTAGTTAAAAAGGGAAGTTTGATGCCCAAATAATATATTTGACACTGCTGATTTTTTAATTAAATTGATGCACTGCACTTTTGATGTTTCAATGTTACAAACCTTTAATTTTCTATAAAAGGGATTAATTGTCAAATATTTAGGCCTAACAGTGAAGATTAGTTTTGAAATACATATTATTCTCCCTCTTCTCCCTTCACTTTTCCCCACTTCCTCTGCAAAAAGATTTGACAGATATTTTTATAAAGAAATGCTGTTTGTTGTAACATAAATATATTGGAAAAAATGGTTTGCAAAGACATTCTATAAACTATTTATATAAAATCAATAAAAGTTGATTATGACTGTTATAAAGCTGTATCAGTTGAATATTGTAACAGCACAAAGTATTCTTTGTACAAATTTTATATTAATTTGAAACAATACGGGTTGTCAAAACTGTTTTAGAATGTCCCCAAAGGCTCAATGTCAAGGGGGAGAAAGAAAGAAGGGGGTATCACATTTTTTTCATGTTTCACATTTTTTTTATTGGGTTGTTGGAAAAGTCATGACGCATTTTTGCAACAAAAAACAGAAAAAATACATCATGACTTTTTCCGACAACCCAATAGATTTGAGTGTTTTAGCAGATCAGTCATAAATTTAATGCTTAGGATCCAGATAAAAATGTTTTTGTTTTCTCTTTGAGTTACTGTTACAATATTTGTATTTCTTAAATACAAGAATCTGGGAAGTGTGTCTAATTGTGTAGCTGGGAGGACAGGGTAACCAGTTTCTTGAACCATTAGCCTGTTTGCCATACCCATATAATTTATTCCCCTCTTTTTGAGGGTTCCCATAAAAGTATTAAAGAGATGAATGAGCTGAAAAGTATTTCAAGTTATTCATGCACTGGTTGTCTTCATGTCTTTAATTCCATAACTCCAATTATGAGTGTTAAAGTTTCCTCTAGATTCTTCTTCCTGTGTAGCTAATAGAAAAGAAAGGACATAATTAATGGAGAGAGGGAAGCTTCCTCAAAGGTAATCAAACTAGTCTCTGCCCTGCCATCCTTTTTCTTAAAGTCTGGTCTTATTAAGCAGTATTATATGAAACCATCCTAACATTCTTTTTTTTTTTTTTTTTGTAGACTACCATTACATTCTCCTATTTTTCCTTAGAGAAATTCAGAGACTATTCATGGAAGGGAAGATGTGAATTCCCCCCATAGGAATATCAATTGATAAACTTTTCACAAACTTGGCTTTGAAACCTTTCAAAAACTTATAGGACAGAAAGGGAAAATCAAGATTACATTTTGCACTTTTATGTTAGAAATTAGAAAATGGGTGGAAGTGGTACAAAACCCAGAGACCTTTACTGAATCCTCATCTTCTTCCCTGTGTCTGTCTCTCTCCCTGTCTCCCTTTGTCTGATACTGTGAGTTCCTCCTTCTCATCTCCCTGTATCATGTTTCTTTTTCCTCCCATCTTCAAGGAATCAGAGATAGATTTAGGAGAGAATTTTGAGTTCACTGTTGGTACATGGAGTTTATAGTGCAGGCAGGTTGTTTAGTGATGATGTCTGGGAAGAAGATGGAAAGTAGGGAGACAAATCAGAACAAAGATATTTGGGATTAACTCAGAAGAAAAGTTTGAGGTCGTGAGATTGATTGCGAAGGAGAGCATGAGAAATGCTGTCCAAAGAAACAAACCAACTTAAGGGGAAAAGAACTTTCTTTCCTTGTCTTTCTAACTTCAAACTCGACACACTTGACTGGCAGTCTTATATCAACATTTACTGCTTTTTGTCATCATTGTAATGTGTATCCTATTTATTCTAGACCCCCAGATTCCTTCAAAGTAAAAACCATGTGTGAGTCATCGTTGTATTAACCATGTACCCTTACAGAATGCCCACAACATGGTTGAGGTGTCATAAATACTTTGCTGAATGAATTGGTGGAAATGCCATTCTCTTCAACAAATATTTAATGAACTCCGGTGTCAAATACTGCACTGGGTGCAAATATTTAATCCAAAAAGATTTTATTGAGAAATTGGGGGAGGGGAACAGCTAAGTTGTCCTTCAATCTTAGTTGTGAAGGGCGCAGCAAGCTCAGCTCCAAGTCCAGTCGCCACTCAGCTCAAGGTGCTATGTTCAGTTAGTTGGCGGGTGGCCTTAGCCACCATCCCCTGCAGGAGTCGAACCGGCAGGCTTGTTGTTAAAAGCGCGCTCTCCATCCCCCGAGCCACCTGGGCGGCAGCTCAGCTCAAGGTGCAGAGTTAAGTCTTTAGTTGCAGGTGGGCATAGCCCACCATCTTGAACAGGCAACCTTGTTGTTAGGAGCATGTGCTCTCACCAGCTGAGCCATCCTGGCACCTGTTGGCAGCTCAGCTTGGATGCAGCTCACTGGCCCATGTGGGAATCGAACCAGCCACCCTGTTGCTCAGAGCTCACACTTTTGAGCAAGCTCTTAACCAACTGAGCCACTCGGCCAGCCCTAATCCAAGACTCTTAAACACTGCTTTTTAAGCCAACAATTTGTTTCTCATTTATTCATTAGCTGACATTTGCTGAGTGCCTTAGGGCAGTCACAAGGAGTACTAAAGGGAAATCAAAGACAGTTCCTACATCAAGGATAGACTATTCTTTTTTTTTTTTTCACTCAAAATCACACCTACTGGAAACAAACAAAACTCACCAGTACTCTGGATTCAGACCACATATGAATCAGTAATATGAGTACTGATTAGAGGGGTGAATGAATCTGGAGTTATTACATAACATGGTGCTCTGGATACAAAAAAAAGATCCTTATATTTATTGACTGCACAAAGAAATGACAAATCTAGGAGGATGTAATCTATAACTTTGGCTGAAATGTAGTTCATCTCAGAGGAGCTGTAGAAGCGAAGAGCTCTGGAGTTAAACAATTTTGAATCCTGGCTCTGCCACTTGGCAGATGGCATGACCTTGGTCTACATCTGTAAATTAATGAAAATACCTATCTACCTAATAAGATTAAATAAATTGGAAACACTCAAATGTTAATGGAGGCTTTTATTCATGTAAATTGTGCTTAATGCCTTTTTCTAGACTTAGTGATTATTGATTGCTGTTATGACTAGGGAAGGCCCTCAATAGAAATCAATTGTGGGGAGAAAAAAAGCCTAGATACTTTCACTTTAAAATTAGAGGGTGAAAAACACAAGGTGAACTAGAGATAGGGGGCATAGAGGAAAATCATATAAATAAAACTAAAATTGCTGCATTATTTCTTGTAAGTTTCTTTGTAAGAATTGAAAGATATCTAAATTACTTGTTACTAAATAATTTTACTTTAAAAATGCATTGCCATAAACCATAAGACCATTCTACAAGATTTTGAGGTAAAGAGTAAGAAACTTAGCTTCCCTGAAAACTAAAATTTAAGAAAGGCAAGAAGGAAATATTGTTTGAACCATACTGTCAATGAGCTTTACTGTCAAAGCAAGGTTTGGGTATGGAAAGAACACTTATAAATACTTGTTTTAATTAATATTTGTTGTATTAAAATACATTGAAAACAGTGTTTCTTAAATCTCTAAGCTCAACTTGGAGATATTATTGAGATACAAGTAGGGTAAAATTTGTGTAAAAGTAAGAAACTTACTGATTAACAATTAACTCATAAAATTGATCAAATTCTAAACATTTAACCCTAATTTCATTAATCACATTTTCTTAAACATTTGATAAGATATTTAATGTATTTGATTTCATCCCTCATAAAGGCAGACTTGTATACGCGACAGATTTTTCTTAGCCTCCTTGACAACTTATGATTCAAATATATTTAAACATACTTAAAAACAAAATAGTATAATGATATCAAAATTTAGTCATTTAAATATTGAAGTATTCATACTATAGACTTATTCACTTCTTGTATCATTTTTTAATGCCTTCGTCTGTTTTAAGATTGTAATTTTACTAAGCCATTTACTTAGATAAAAACTTGGCCATCTGACATGCTATCAAAGAAACAAATAGGAACCTAGAAATTTAGTGCACGTTCTACTATTTGACAGCAATTGTTGTAGTTAGTGACTTTTGTCTGCCCCTTCCTTAAGATCTTTTTTCTTTTAATCAACTTAATGGAGGTATAATTGACATACAATAAAATGTACACATTTAAAATATATATAGCTCAATGAGCTTTGACAAATGTGTACACCATGTAACCACCACCCCAATCAACATACAGAACATTTTCTTCACCAGAAAAAGTTTTATCTCCATTTGCAAGCTGTCTCCAGTCCTAGGTAACCACTGATATATTTTCTGTCACTGGAGATTAATTTTGCCTATTCTAGAATTTCATATGAATTGAATCAGATGGTATGTACTTGTGTCTAGTTTCTTTAGCTTAACCATATTTTGAGATGCATTTATGTTACCACAGACTCAAAGGGGTCCACTTGCCAATGTGCATCAAAGCCCAATGAAAAGCAGGAGTTTGCAGAAAAGTAAAGGTTTATTTAAGGAGCTGGTGTCAAGTACAGAGACATAGGTGAGCTATTGTCTCTCAAAAACCTGGCTCTCCAGTGGCCTCTAGTGACTAGGTTATATAAAGGAAAAATCATTAATCATGATTGCTATGGGAGTTAGGGCTGGGGGCTTTACTGATTGGTTGGGGCTAAGGCAGGGAGCAATTGATCATGGCTTCAGGTCCTGGTGTCAGTCATGGCATTGTTCAATCCAGTTTTCGGGGGATGCAGTCCGTGGGACTGTTCCACTCCCATGAGTCTGGAACTGAGACATAACTGAGACCACAGTGTTAGCTTGTATTAAAACCTTATTCATTGTTTGAGATTTGGTTATTGTATCTTGGTCATGGTTGATATACCTGAAGCTTTATTCTCAAATGAATTTGATGTTGACCAGAACCTAATGACCTAAAGACTTAATGATTAAAAGGAGTGGACATACTTTATATGAAGGTTGGACAATTAAGTTCACGGACTCATCCTAGAAAAAGTGCTACCTAACTACCTCATTGCTGAATATCACTGCGGTCACCTTCAAAGTACTCCCCTTGGGAAACTATACACTGACGTCAGCGCCTAGTCCACCCTTCAAAGCAATTTTGGAACTCTTTTTCTGGAATGGCCATTAGAGTTGTCGTCATATTATCCCTGATGTCCTGAATGTCATCAAAATGTCTTCCTTTCAATATTTCCTTTATCTTGGGCAGAAAGCGAAGTCATTGAAGTCCAGATCAGGTGAGTAGGGAGGGTGTTCCAATACAGTTATTTGTTTACTGGCTAAAAACTCCCTCACAGACAGTGTCATGTGAGCCGGTGCATTGTCGTGATCCAAGAGCCATGAATTGTTGGTGGAAAGTTCAGGTCGTCTAACTTTTTCACACAGTCTTTTCATCACTTCCAAATAGTAAACTTGGTTAACTGTTCAATTCGTACAAATTCATAATGAGTAATCCCTCATATTAAAAATGGTTAGAAACATCATTGCAACAAGTTCGTGAACTTAATTGTCAGACCTCGGATGTACAGGTAGGGGGGTCAACAAACTGGCTTGCAAGCTGTACGCGGCTCTTTGGGTAGTTCTGTCTCAAAAGTTTGCCGACCCCTGGAAGAGCCAATTCTGTCCCTCAATGTTTTGTGAGACCTATAAAACAAATGAAATCACCATTATGTGAATAATATCCTTTAAAAATTTTTAAATGAAACTATGATAAAAGGCCAGCCGAGTGGTTCAGTTGGTTAAGAGCTTGCTCAAGAGTGCGAGCTCTGAACAAAAGCGGTTCTAGTCCTGGCCCAAGCTGAGCTGCCAATAGGTGGCTGGATGTCTCCGCTAAACAAACCAACAAACAAAAAAACTATGATAGTTTTATTTTCATTTTCAATTTTACTTCAGAGCCACGTTTACGTACCCAAAGAGCCTCATGTGGCTCACAAGCTGCAGTTTGCTGAGCTCTGGCAGCTCTTCTGTCTCAAAAGTTTGCCAACTCCTGGTCTAGGGAAAGAATGCAATGGGGTCATCATTCTATCAAGCTAAACAAAGCTAGCTTAGATTAAAACAGAATGCATGCTAAAGAAATGAAGTTAATGCACAGTTACATGTATGCTGTTGCATATATCTATAGTTTGTTCTTCTTTATTCCTGAATAGTATTCCATTGTAGTATATCACAATTTGTTTATCTGTGTATCTGTTGATGGATATTTGAGTTATTTCTAGTGTGAGGTTATTATGAATAAGGCTGTAACAAACATATGTACAAGTCTTTATATGGATATGTTCCTTTTCTCTTTGGTAAATACCTATTAGAATTACTGGTTCTGGGATAGACATATGCGTATGTTTAATTTTATAAGAAATGGTTGAACTGTTTTCCAAAGTGGTTGTACCATTTTACATTCCAACTACCAATAATGAGAATTTCCACTACCTCCACATTCTCACTAACAGTATCATCAGTCTTCATTTTTAGCCATTCTAGTGGGTGTGAAGTAGTGTCTCATTATGGCTTAATTCGTATTTTCCTACAACTAATGATGGTAAACACCTTCTCTCCTGCTTTTTGCTTGTTTTATGTTTCATTTGTGAAGTATCTGTTCCAGTATTTGGGCCATTTAAAAAATTGTGTTATTTTCCTTTATATTATTGATTTATTAAAATTCTTTATATATTGGCACAAATACTTTGTCAAATATATGTATTACAAATGTTTACTCTAGTATGGGGCTTGCCTTTTCATTTTCTTAATTGTGTTCTTGATTTTTAAAATTATTTAATTTTTATTAAGACCAAATTATCACATTTTGTCTTTCATATGAGCAATTATTGCATTTTATGTCCCATCTAAGAAATATTTGCTTATCCCAAAACAAGTCTGGAAATTTTTTGTGTGAGAAGATTTTTGATAATGAATTCAAATTCTAATAGATTTT